TCAAAGCATATTGAAATGCATTTGTCGATTGTTAACTCTGGTACAGAAACGTGCGAATGATTGCTAGTGCTAACGTCAAACTCATCTAAACTTACCAGAGATTTGCTGAAATCCAATCTTTCTTTAACTGATGAAATGTAAAATAATTTCATCTACCTTTATCATTCAATCAACCTTTGTTTAGCATCCAGCGACCCAGTTCCCCGAGGTAAGACGTTGTTTTCTTTGCTATCAAATTTTTGTGCCAAATTAGACGATCAGTTTCATCCATTTCATTTAAATTTAGATCTTTCATGTCTTGCTCGATTGTTTGCGACCAGGACTTCTTTGGACGACTTTTGGGACGTGTGCCAGGTACTTCAACATCTGCAAGAGAAGTTATGACACTGTTTCCACTACGTTTGACATGACCAAACCACCGCAGACGGTGTTGCCGGCATTCGTCCTTTATATCATCTAAATCAGCACGACGCAGGATTTCGGTAGATTTGATGTGGTCCTTCAGACTAATTCGTTGCATCCATCGGAGCATTTTCATGTCGGTTCGTTAAATTACCAAATCTAATTTACATCGCTTTAATTCTGCATTCAACTGATTCTTTTTTATTTTAAATATTTCAACGGTAAATAACTAAGTGAATAACTTTGAAAAACAGAGAAAAACTCGAGGCCGCCGCAACGATCGTGATCATTGGGACACTTCCTGTCACAATGAGATGAACTGACTGGATATTTTGCACTACTCAGGCAGTGGCATGCCTCACCTCTCTGTCGTTCAACGTTTTCAGATTTTCATTCAAATTTTTGTTATCCTTACTTACAAATCATCAAGAACCTACTTGCAAGCCAATCATGAAAATGTTCTCCACGGACAAACAGAAGCTCTTGCAATCTGCATTGGATTGAACAGGCGTGGTCTTCTCAATGACAACACTCCAGTAACATCCAAGATACATGACACCTGTCCCAACTTCGAATTGAAAAATTGTTGGTTTGGCAATCCAAACAAAACGCACAAAAAATACAAATTTCACATGTATTTTTAGATTTTAATTTTAGATGTAATTTAAATTAAACATTTTGGTTTCTATATAATTATTGAAGTCTATGAAAACATACTTGGAAGATATCCCCATTTTTTAGACTCTTTGAATCCGTCTGGAATTCTACACTTAGTTAAAGTTTTACGATCAGAATATTCTATTTTTACACAAAGATTGTAACCACAGTCACCATTGTTTACTTTACAATCTGTTCCAATCACGATAGATTTAAATATAAAAAATGTTCAGTAGTAAAACGAAACAAAAAACTGAAGGGTTTCAAAGCAGTTTGAATTAAAGTCAACGTTACTTAACTCAATGTAAAAATCATTTGAGTTTTTATAATAAGTACATTTAGGATCGTGTATAAAATCTCATAAATTTTGAATTTATTGAGATCAAGATGAAGAAGACGTAGAATTGAACATACGTTATATAAAAATCACAGACAGTGGGTTCAAACATAGCGAAATGAATTTAATTGAGTCCAGAATGTAAAAACTTCAATATATCGAACTGAGATTAACGAAAGTACCTCGAATATCGCATAGTTCTCCTTTCCATCCGCTTTTGCATGCGTTGGATCGGCATCCAGTCGAGTCGATACAAAAATTATTTTGAGGTCTTTCACGAAAATCAAACCTGCCATAAACTTAAAATTAAGAAAAAAGTTAATAAAAGAATTTCGGCATTTACTTCTACTACTGCTACTTTTACTACTACTACTACTAATAATAATAATACTGTTACTACTACTACTACTAAAAATACTTCTGCTAAAAATACTCAAAGGCATCTGGAAAAATAGGGAGGAGGAAGCAATTGCCACCATTTTAAGCCGGGCTGGAAACTTTTTTCGTTAAAGTAAGTTTTTCAAGAAAACGAACCAAGTATTTTAAATGATTTGAAATCATCATTTTCAATCATATATGTATCACAATAACATATATAGGAACTTTTTTATTATCGTTACATATACTATGTAAA